TTAAAATTTAATGAAAATGAATTAAAACTTCAAAAAGTATAAATTTATGATATAAAAATTTGAAAATAAAATTATAATGGCTTTTTTAAATGCAAATTTTAACAATTTTTGAACATAGATATACAATAGTAATATTAATTAAGTGTATTATAAATGAAGTATAATGAAATAGCTAATATTTAATTATGTTTTAAATATATCATAAAGTATATTAAGACAACCCAACGTATGTCCTTGGTCTTCAACAAAAGACACTTGAAGTTTAAATGATCCGTATAAATATAAATCGGGCAATTTGGCTTTGTTCAAAAATGATATATCAAATCCCGTCATTTTATATGAACCCTAAATATTAAAAATATTCTATAATTTTACATTATTTAAGATTATTTTTTTACTAAATATAAATAATTTGTGAAATGTTTTATAGATTGTATAAAATCATTAACAAAGTTACGATTATACAGGGTGATTTTTTTATCATAACCCACTCAATTACTTGCAGAATAATAATAATTTAAACATTTTTTTTTTTTATTATCTTTAGTTACACATTATTCTTGAATTTTTAACTATGTAATACTTTTTAAGTTCATCCCTTATGCCTTGGAGGGGGGTCAACTTTGTTTTTTTAAATGGTAACACATATTTTTAATTTAATAAAATGTTTGAGTTTTTAATTTAATAGTAAATGGCATTTGAATTTTTAATATAACTTTATTAGCTTATTAGATATAAACATTTAAAGTTTCAAAATTTTGAGTTAATATACATGTATAATACACATGGGATTGTAAATACAGGTAGCTAATTGGATTTTTATGACATTGCTGTCTCAGTCACGGATTGTTTATTATCAATTATGATTATCAATAGATATACTTTCTGTATTGTCAGTTAGTGTATTTATAAACTCATAACAATGTGCCTTACTATCATTGATAATAAGAATGCTGTGTACCTGCTAATATCGATGTCATAAAAAATCAATTAGCTACCTGTATTTGTAATCCCTTGTGTATTATACCTATATATTAACTCAAAAATTTGAAACTTTAAATGATTATATCTAATAAACGAATTAAGTTATATTAAAAATTCAAATGCCATTTTCTATTAAATTATAAACTCAAACATTTTATTAAATTAAAAATATGAGTTACCATTTAAAAAAACAAAGTTGACCCCCCTCCAAGGCATAAGGGATGAACTTAAAAAGTATTACATAGTTAAAAATTCAAGAATAATGTGTAAATAAAGATATTAAAAAAAAAAAATGTTTAAATTATTATTATTCTGCAAGTAATTGAGTGGGTTATGATAAAAAAATCACCCTGTATTTGTTACTTACACCGACAATTGTATACAGATATATTTAATTAGACTTTAAATATTATTAATATTATGTAATGACTAAAATCTGATATTCTGGCAATCCTAATTTATATTACATTGTTTAGTCACATTATTATATATGATTAATTATATTTTATACATTTACACCTACTTGAAAAATTGTATTAAAATATCGCTTATTTTCGAAATTTTTTTTCAATTTTTTTTACTAAAAACTGCCATAAATTTTTCAAAAATGACCACATCAATATAATTTTTATTTTTATAGATGCATGATGACTTAACCTATTATTTGATATATTTTTTTTATAAATCTGATCCTTTACCTGCCCACAAAAGGGAATCAAAATAACAACTTTTCCAAAAAAAATTAACTTTTAAACTTAATTTTTGAAAGTGTTCTGGAAATACTGACACTTTTATGTATACCTTAAATTAAAGATTTTGTAATATACTTTATTATGGAAAAAACAAATTTCGGACTTCATTTTGTCTTCACGGTGAAAATGGCTAAATGCTATTTTTGTGTTAAAATTCTCGATTTTATATTTTACATTTATAATTTTAAAATGCTATAACTTTTTGAAAAATGTATGGATCAATACAATTCTTTTATTAGAAATAATATTTATATATTTTTTTCATACGACATACTGTTTTTTTAATCATACCATTTCCTTTTATACAGGGTGGGTTCAAAATTTAAAAATGTATATAGAAAGTAGAACTTTTTGAACTTAATTTTTGAAAGTGTTAATTACTTATACTTTTATATGTATCTTAAATTAATGCTTATGTAATATGCTATAAAACGAAAAAAAAATTTTCGGACTTTATTTTATTTTCATAGTGAAAACTAACATCAAAGTTAATACAAAAATGAGATTTTTGTGAAAAATTTTTTTTTTTAAATTTTAATTTTATAACTTTTTGAAAAATATATGGATCAATACAATTCTTTTATGATAAATACTATTCATATACCTCTTTCATTCGATATACTTTTTTTTTAAATCAGACCATTTCCCTTTATATATTATTAATATATATTCCTATATTACACTTATAAATCATAAAATTTGTAATCAGGATATAAATAAGGAAATAGGAGATCATGTAGCTTTTGGAATAATCCACTAATTTTTTAAAATTAAACACTATCTATAGATTTGCATCAAAGCGTTTTTTATGATAGTGATTATAATCATTGTCAGATATCATTATACTTAACCCAACTATGCCACGTCCCCACTTTGATGGGTTTTTTTTAACTGCAAGTACATACTATACGTTATCTTCTTTTGACATAATACTATATACTATATAATGTACTATTATAATACTTAATACTATATAATGCACACACGCTAAGTACCACTGCGTGCTTCAGTAGAGCTTTTCGTGTGATTGTTACAATTGAAGTGATTAAAGACTATTTAAACGTACTTCATGATACGGTATTATACCTTCATCGAATTCAAAAACAATTATTGAAGCGTCAAAATTTTCATAACAACAGTTATTGAAAAGAAAATCAGTGTCTATTTAATTTCAACCGTAGAACAAGTCGCACTACAAATTATGTGAATACAATTTTTAACTACACAATGATATTATACAGGGTGATTGTTTAACAATGCCTTATGTAATTGCTTTAAAAGTAAAAATAATAATAATTTTCATTTTTTAAAAATTAACAAAATCTTTTGTTTTATCATCTTTTGTTCAGTTTAAAAAAACAGTACTACTCCTACCACATTGTATAAAAATACAAATATTTTATAATGTATTGATTCAACAATTTAAATACTAATTTTTGAACTGTTTAGATTATATTTATATATATTTCAAAATTAGATGAAAAAAATTGGAATTTTGTCAGAAAATATTTAGTTAGTTAAATAAATCTAAAGTTAAAAACTTTAAAGAAATTTATTTTAAAACGACAGTTGCTCTGCCATAAACATTTTTCTTGATATTTATAAATGTAAAATAGAATAAATATGTATACTTTATTACTACATCGAATTATATTTTGATCAAAAAGTAACAGTAATTAAAATTATATTATTTTCAGAATGATATCATTAAAACTAGCCAAGTTTGGTTTTATATTATTATTTGTGATTTTGTATACAAAAGCATATTCAATTATAAAAGAAAAAATGGAACAGTTTAATGAGTTATTACAGTATTCAGGATGGAGAAATTTAAATGAATTAATTTATATAAAATATATCAATAGAACATATTATCTTCAAAATTTGATTGAAATAACCACAAATACCAATAAATGTAAGCAAAAAATACGATGTTTGACTATATATCTTGGATGCACATACGCAATTATTATGAATACTCTTTTTCTAATTAATAATAAATTAATAAAAATTTGTAAATATAAACTTGAAGAAGAGAAAGATTTAATTAATGGGTGTATTTGCACAGAAGAACTCATAAAAATAGTATCCTTATTTATTGTTCCACTAGCAATATTGTTCAAAGGAGCTATGGATGCTTTGGATTTACTACATATCCATCCTTGGGCATATAATAAATCTCCCTACATGATAAGTCCTCGATTAGGGAAAATTGAAAATATTCTTAACGATTTAAACGAAATTATTTTATCTCATGATGATATTTCCACATACATTTGGACATTAAATACTGTAGATAATTTTTTTGACGACATAATGAAACATCAAAATTATGATGTTGATGAATATTGTGAATTTATAACTTATGATAAGAATTATTTATGGAAAAAATGGAATCAGGAGTACAAAACCAGTATTGGTCATGACATTAATTTAGTATTTTTCAAATTCCTAACCAAAAAAATTGAAGATTATATCCACACAATAATTATACAAAAGTATTCTCAACTCGGATTTAAATTTGATCCGATCACCCAAGAAACATTTATACCAAAATCAGATGACTTAATTGAGCCAGGTAATTAAAATAATAAAATATGGATTAAAATATCACTTTAATGTTTTATAATTTTTTTTATGATTCTAGAATTGGAATTTAAAATAACAGATGAATAGCTGACAAATGCTATAACTTTTTGAAAAATATATGGATCAATACAATTTTTTTATGATAAATACTATTTATATACCTCTTTAATTTGACATATTTTTTTTTTAAATAAAACCATTTATATATATATATATACAGAGTAGAGCGGATCTAACTGACAATTCATATAACATATAATCTACATAACATTTTATACTTTTTTTTAATATTTTAAGATAGCCATTTTATAGATAAGTTTAAAAAAAAAAAATTGATAACAAAAACTCTTATTCATTAGTTATGTTTATACAGCATTTTGAAATTTTGTAAAATTTTGATTTTTTTATACAATTTTCCTATTGTATCAAATGTTAGTCCATATTATGTAAAGTACAGAAGTAAACACTTATTACATTATTTACTGGTAACTGTATGCGATTTCTTTTCCATGGATAATAATAACGTTTAACGCACATTATACAGAAATGATTATCTCTAATCTTTATTACAAAAGTTAGAAATATTATCGTATGTCGACTACGAGTGTTCCATGGTTAGCCAAGTTAAAATTAATAACAATTATTAATTTGCGTGATTCTATCATTGTAATCATATTATTATAGTATATTCCTTGTTAGGAGATTTGATAATAAATGCACTTATTCACTATTATTCACGTTTCAGTTTAAGATGTATGAACTTATTTAATTGAAAATTCAATATGTTTTAGACTATGATTCTATCATTTTTTTTAATAATCTGAATTATACTACTAATTGTTTTTTCATGTCAATTACAAATGCTTATTCAAATGTTAATAATTTTCATGGAAAAGAAATCGCGTACTGTTACCAGTAAATAATGTAATAAGTGTTTACTTCTGTACTTTACATAATATGGACTGGCATTTGATACCATAGGAAAATTGTAAAAAAATTCAAAATTTAACAAACTTCAAAATGTTGTATAAACGTAACTACTGAATTAAAAAAATAAGAGTTTTTAGTATCAAAATTTTTCTTTAAAACTTATCTATAAAATGCCTATCTTAAAATCTTAAAAAAAATTTTAATAAAAAATCAATTTTTAAAATATTTTTTGTAATTGCGAAAAATAACATAATACATATTTTAAATATAGTTGTATATTGTAAAAATTGATTAAAAAAAAAAAAGTAAAAAATGTTATGTAGATCATAAGTTATATGAGTTGTCAGTTAGTTCCGTTCCACTCTGTATATGTATATATATACTTATATATTACACTTAGAAATCATAAAACTTGTAATCAGGATATAAATAAGAAAATAGGAAATCATTTAACTTTTGGAATAATTCACCAATTTTTTAAAATTAAACTCATCTATACTTGACCCAACTATGCCACGTCCCCACTGTGCTGGGTTTTTTTTTTTTTATTAAAATTACATGTATAATGTACTTATTATTTAATTTATATACTTGAGAAAATTAATATTAAAAATTAATAAATCCAGATATTAAAAAAAATTATATATTGATTTGTAGTTATTTATCATTTTTGGAACAAACTATGCCTCTTTGCAATTTTAAATCTATGGTTTTACTTTTTTTAATTTTTATTTGTAGTTTTAAACATAAAATAATAATGCAGTTAATTACTTTTGTAATAGGACACAAATAATTTTTTTTGTTAAAACTATTTATGAATGGTATCCACGCTTCTCCTAAGAAGTCTCTTAACGAAGAACATGCTTTTTTTTTATTTAAAACCATTGAGTTCTCTTTCCAACCACCTATCATATCCCATTGCATTGTGTGTAAGTTTATCTAAACAAATTATAAATCTTAATTGAATATAGTTAATCTCTTTTGTTTATAAATGTACAAGTAAAATAATTATTTCGAGGCTCACCGAAAAAGAATTATCAAATGAAATGTACAACTTTAATTTTCCATCTATCATTAATTTTGATAATGTTATATTTTTTTGATACAAATTGGCATTTATTTTGTAAGACGTACTGTTACTGCATGGATAAACCTCAGTCAAATTAACATTGTATTGATCCTAAACCATTTAATTATTATTTAAATATTCAAAGTATATTATATATTATACATTTCAATATCATCACTCTTTAAAAAAATGTCCAATTTAAAAAATTTATATGCATATATAGGAAGTCTTAAATGCATATAATTCAAAGGAAATTTTGGATAAATAATAATAGAAATATTGTATTTATGTTCAATTTTTCGATACCTTCAAAATTATACTTAATTATAAGTTGAATTTATAAAAGTTATGGTGCATTATTTAAAAACTCATTTGATAAATTCGAATTATATTTAACGGCCTTTTAAATAAGTAATCATAATCAAATATTAGATAAAGGCTAAAAATAGGAATGTACAAATACAGTAATAAAATGTTCTATCTTTTTAACAACTATTGACTGATAATATTCAAATTTCTTATTACAAAAATCTGACAAACTTTACAAATGTACTATAAACCTTTAAGGACAATATTTGTAACAGTCTTCAATATCTAATTTAATTTGATGAAATATTTTACGTTAATATAAAATATCAAACTTACTCGAATAGCTGGATTAGGAAGCATGTAACGAAATAAATCTTGAACAGTTAGTATTTGTACAAACAATTGGGTGTTTAATAAAATAAAAAATAATTTACAACTCAACTTCATAATTCTTTAAAGTATTTTCAATACTTTAAAATGTTTTGAAAATGTTTTTCACTTAAAATATTTAACAAAAAAAATTTAAAAATCTCAGTTTAAAATTATAATAAATGAATAATTTTCTCCCGAAAGATAAATGTGAATTTTTATTTATTCTTTTTCAATTCTAAAATGTATTTTTACATAATATTGTGCATAAATAACTTTTTTTCAAGGATAATGTATTTTTAATCAAATCAATCATATCTAAAAAATATTTTACAGGAAATATTGAGCTATCTGTACTTTTTTAACTGAAAATATTATTTTAAATTAATAGAATAACAATAAAATGCATTGATAATTATACTTGATTACAATTTTTTTATACAACATGCATATCTAATTGGTAATTAAATTTTCCATTTGTTTTCACCTAAGTATATTATTTTTTTAAAACATCATTTTTACATTTATGTTATTTTCACCTTTATTAATTATTAATTATTTTTTTTAGTGTACTATTATAGTACACTAAAAAAAAAAATCTCTTGTACAAAGTAATTGTTATACTGTGACTTACACAAAATCTTATTAAAATAAATAACATAATATAATTTTTTCTTTTCGGAAATTCATAGTATCCTAAATTTTATAATTTTCAAAAAAAATTGTTCCTATTTCTCTTATTTCTCCTTTAAAATTTTATCCTTCTCCTTTAAGTTTTTAGATGAAAATTCAATTATTAAATAATGCACGTATGTGAATATTGTCATTGTTAACATAAGTTGCATACAATTTTACTGTATTAAAACTTATTGCCTAAAAACAAAATGTAATCTTCTTGCATAAATTTCATTTAAAATAATATGTAAATCTAAGTTATAGCTGAGAATTTTTTTATGGGTGTGTGATCACAACCCCTGAACTTTTCAATGGCTCACAAAAATAAACCACAGCCCCATAATATTTAGCCGGTATCCAGTATTTTATATTTTGCTGATAATATTCTTTTCTTTAAATACTAATAATAATAAATAAAATACAGTTTTACACCATATATATTTATCAATTTCTTATAAAATCATAAGTAGTTTAATTCCGATTCAAGCCAAATCCTCAACATTTTGATGAAAGTTATTATAGGAAAATTAAAACTTAAAGTCAGATATCTCAATATTAAATTTTTTTAGCTACTGATTTATTAGGTATGCATAACGATATAGTAAATAACCAATGTTACTATTTAAATTATTAACAAATCTGGTCACAAGTTAGGATACACAAGTGTCCACAAATAGTAGCTGGACCTTTTGTATTTGACACGTGTATCCATGGATATATCTCCTTTAAGTAAATCCATTTTACTCTCAGTATTACCCATATCATATTTAAAATTTTTAATCAGTCCAAGCTGTAATCACTAATGTAATTCCATATTATTGAAAGTACCTAATTATTTAAATGAAATTTGATTAAACTTAGGCATTAAATTAGTAAATTGAAAAAAGTGTAACATTAAAATAAATTACTTTAATTATAATAAAAAACTATAAAATAATGTTAAATAATAAACTAAAAGTAAGTAGTACCTAACTTAATGTCAAAATAAAAATTATTATCTATTGCTTCATCATGCTATGGAATATCTGATTACATAATTAATAAGGCAAAAAATTTGATGTTGAATTAAACATAAAAAATAACATATACTATTAAATACATTTAAATACTAAAATTACAAATTATGAACTGTAATATTTTTGATAATTGAACAATTTAGGCAAACTGAATTTGCATTATTTTATTAATGTCAAATTTTATTTTTATTTATAAACTTTAATTACCTTAAAAAAGACTTTGACATTTCAAACTTAAACATTTCTAAATACTAGGGAACTGCCCATGACTAATTCTAATATTTTACAAATTGTATATTAAGAAATGTTAATTGGATAATTATTCAATAAACATTATTAGAGTATAATCCAATGATGTAATAATTTAATTTCTATATTTAGTTTCCCTGTATTATTTTTAATAATTTTAACAGTTAAATAGATGAATAGTTCATGATTAATTAAAAACATTAGGTGTTAATGATTACAAAAAAAAATTTAAACATCAAGTTATAGCATCCTATTGTTAACCTCATTATCACTATTTATTTATTTAGTTTGTATCTACCATCGTTTTCGTTGCAGAGTTTATAAACTACAAAAAATTAATACAGATAAAAATAATAATAAAAGAATAGTCAAAAGACGAATGACCGATACCATTTTCATTTTATTAGAAATAATTTTAAAAATAAATAATTTTAACAGTAATATGTATTTAAATTATTTAAAAAATCTATTACTGTTTTGATTTAGTTAATAAAAATGTTACAGCCGGCTTAAAATAAAAAAATATTTTATTATTATAATAATGAATAAATTAAATATATGAAAAAAAGTTATATGCATTACATATAACTTAACGATAATTAAATTACATAAAAATAATAAGCCCAAAAATGTTGTAATCAATAAAAATTTTTACGTTCGATCCATTTTATTAAAATATTAATAATTTAACTTTTTATGGCGAACAAAATGTCACATGGGCACATTTAACCCTCAACGTGATAAAAAGGTCATTAAGTAACTTTTTTTTTTAATTTTTATACTTAAAAAAAATTACTAATTTTCATAGGTCACTGGAAAATTAGAAATTATAACCGTCCACTCTACCATTTTTCAATGACCCCCTGATTTTAATAATTTTGATTATTCTTAAATATTTTTCCTAAAGAATATATATAAGTTATAAGTATATACGAATATATACGCATATCATATATGTGACATGATTACTATTTAACCAGTAAATTTGTGATTGAATTTTATATTATATGTATGATGTTACTATCTACTTGATAATCTTACTGTTACACGTGTACCTTTGAACCAATACCATAGATTTAATAGTGTAAAACACATGTATATTTAATCTATGCCAAAATTATGTATCAATTCTATAAAAATAATATTATCTTTTATCTTAGCTATTTATAATTTTAAAAAAAGGTATATAAAGGAGTGTTTAGCATTGATAATGGTAACATTGTTCCCGAATTACGTATCAGCCATTTTTTAGTATCTTTTTGACTTATACTTAGATATTTTATGTATTTTTAAGTTTTAAATTAATATTTAAGTAACGTATATTGGGATGGAACAGTTTCTCAATGTCGACGGCAATAAATTAGAAACTCATTCAGCATGAATGAGAGGAAGAAAAAATGTTAAAACAACTATTAACAAATGAAAAAAAAAAACGTTTATCTGTATTTTATCTATATAAAGTCCAAATTATTTTACCCTTCATATAGATGATTTTAAATTATAGTGAACTGAATATTTTTTTTTGTCTATTAATGATAATTTTTTTTATATAATTTGTAAGTAATGAGACATCTTAATGTATAAAAATCACTAAAACGTATACAAACAAAGACACAGTATGGTTTTCCACGATTTTATCATTCAAGTTTTATGAATACTAAATGAATCACGCAATGAAAAAGTCATAACGCTTGACATCCCTTTGTCGTATGCATTAGAGCATCCCTTATAATATTATAGTTTTATTTTTTTAGTCACGACAAGGTTTTAAGTTAAGTGCCATGTGTTTTTTTATCAGCAAGCTTTCTTTATTCCACGTGTATGTCTTTCATGTACTATAAAAATGTACAACATTTTTACTACAAAAACAATGAAAACTAGTTAACCTGACTGTACTGTAGTTCAAGTACACGTACTAAAATACATATGAAAAAAAACATTTAAACCTACCAAGAAATTTATATTGATTTAAAATACGAATAATTAGTGTATATATTTTAATAATAGTTAATCAAGAAAATTAATATCTTTTTATTTTTTAAAAATATAGCATTTAATAAAAATATATCATTTTCGCAATAATAACCTTAAATAAATCAATGCGTCATCGTTTAGATAATATTGTAATTAAGGCCAGTTTTTATGCTATAAAGATGTAAACTCTGTTTAAGATAAGGACACCCAAGATTATACTATATTTAAAAAAGGATACAAAATTATTATCAAATATATGTACTCATAAAATTTCTGAATGGCAATAACATCATCTAGCTATTTGCAAAAAAACACATGCGCACGTCTGATAAAAATGTCTTTATTTAGTTTCACTAATGAATCATATGATTACTTTAGTTATAATTAGATTTTTAGAGTTATAAGCGTGTATCCTATAAATTAGTATTATTTTTAAAAGGTTAATTAACAAATTTACAGAATATTTTATTATGAAAACTAAATTTTAATCATGCGATTTTTCTAAATGATTACTATTCATTTTTTTGTTTTAATTAGCTGTATATCTATAATAATCTGAAATCTCAATGTATTAATTATCATAAATAATGTTGAAATTAAAATTGAATAGTTTCATTATGCAAACATTTATTTTCTAAACAGCTAAATAATGTCAAAGTTCAAATATCAAAAGATATTTTGATCATTTATTATTTTTTTAAAAATAAACCAATTACTTATTATTACATGGCTACTTTTGCAAATAATTAAAAATTTTAATGAGTAGTGCACATTTAATACTTTTATGCACCTTGATACTTAATTGTTAGTTTCTTTTTTGAGCAAAGGACCCGTCCCGGAGTATCTATGGTTAAAAAATTCCCCCTTAGGGAGGGCCGCAAGAGCCCTCAATGGCTTTAAAAGCGAAACAAATGTAATTGCAGATGACTATTTCATTATCAAAACATATACAAATAAGAAAGTATCATTATCATCTATCACGTGATATTAAAAAAAAAGATTTAACCATGAATAAAAAGGTAGCACTCTAAAATATAATTAATGAAAATTGCATCATTTATTTTTTAGAGCCCATGTAACCTATTAGACTCTTTATCTTTTAGGGTCTATTCAGTTCAATCAGAGCACAATACTAATTTTATTTTTTCCATGTAAAATGATAAATTATTAATATTATCATTACTCTTTGTTTTAAAAATTATTTAATGTAAATTAACATTATTTTCTTTAACTTTTATTCAATTTAAATGGTAATATTTGTAATATTAAAAATAGATAAATAATTATCAAATCCTGAAAAAGTATTGAATATTTGTTTATTTTATGCATTATAAACTTAATGTACACATTTAAAATAAATACAACTTTGTTTGTTTGATTTTTTACAAGAAAATATTATTCTCTTGGAATTACTCAAATAATAAATTGATTGTTACAACACATCTTCAAAAAAAAAAAAATTATATTTTCATTCTTATTCGTTAACATAAAAATAAAAAAAAAAGTGTCATAGAAGTTATTGAAATGTATTTTTAGTTCATTTTTATCGATATGAATTTGAATAAATTATAACTTTGAAAAATACAGCTAATACTAATAGAAAAAAAATTATTGTAATTTTACTTTTAATAAATGATTTTTTTAGTGGTAGATAACTTATTGAGGCATTTGTCTTATAACTACCCAAGATAAACGGCATTGAGGTTTTAATGAATGTGCGTCACTGAATGCTGTGCGTCAATCACATCTAATCTCAAAATTATTAGACTGTGATTAGACAAAATAATTTGATTGTGTTAAAATTAACTGTGTAGTGCATCAAACATAAACAAAAATATTGCAAAAAGTTTATCAACTTTATGGATGCCATTGGCTTATAGTATTTAATAGCTAATGCAATGATTGACGTAAACCGAATGGCCGTCACCATTACTGATATAAATTTTTTTTAAATAATAAATTTCCAGACAAACAAAAAAAGTCTACAATATATTTTTCTATGGTTAACAAAGAAAATTAATTTTTTTTTTTTTAAGAGATAAGCCTTTTAATTAATATAAATCTTCTTCAAATAATTTTTGTTAATTTAAAAACATCTATCCATCTTTTTCATTATTTAAAAAAAAAACTATATTAATTGAGGAGTTTATGAATTACCCTTAGATATGGTCTTGTACTTACCAAAACATTACAATGAGTTAACGGTTTTAATAGTTCCCGTGGGTTCTTAGTAAATAACAAACCCAAATTTGTTAAAACATGAGCCATATGAAAAAGAGGTGAACTAGACATTTAAAACACATTAGGGCTATGCATTGTTGCCAATAATCGCCTATTAATAATTTATCAGTAAAAAAAAAATTAAAATTAATGTACATTCCTACAAAACTACATTTCTGTTTGTTTATATTATAAACATAGAATTTTTTTTAAGTATTTTTTTGTTAGGATTTAAATACATAACTTATAATTTAAATGTTTGAAATAGGATAAAATACTATAAGAATGATATAAACGTATATTAAGGAATAGTTGAAAGTTCATTTGTTATATTTATTCAAGCTTTCTTGTCAACCGCCAAACACTAAATCATATATCATAGCTGATCTCACTATAGTCTTATAAAACACACATTTTAGCCTCATAGGGATTCTCTTATCAAACAAAACCCCAAACGCTTCTCTTCACTTGATCCACATATACCTAATCTTACGTCTCACATTCTCGTCAATACTGCTGTTCTTTTGTAGAAATTATTTTTAATATTTAAAACTTTCCAAAAAATATTGTGACAATACGAGGATATTAGCGTGTTATTATAATCCAAATTGTGTAAATATTCGGGACTGTCACGTAGTTGACATATTGGACGAGAATAAAACTTTTATCTTTTTATTTAATCTCGTTAATTAAATTTTCAGAGGTATAAACGAAAAAAATTCGTTTATTTTTCATTTGAATAATCTGGATTATTAAAATTATATCAGCTTTATATCAAAAAATCAATTGAACTTATTAAAAAGTAGCAAATATAGATATCAACTATTAAAAAGATTCGAATTATAATACATTAAAATCCATAAACTAAAATAATGAATTGTCAAACACATCCATTGAAAGGCTAATAGTCCATTTTTCCAAAAGTCCAAATCTATTTGAACTCATTGAAAATGCTTTATATCAAAACAGTTTTATAATTAATTTTATAACCACTTAATACTCTGATGTTTACACCAAAGACATTATTTCATTCTCTATTAAAAAGACTGGAGAACTTTTAAACAAGCAACTACATAATAATGTATTATAGTTCAATATTCTATTCATTCAAACATTCTGATTAGAATGTTTAACCGGAGAGAACATCAAAAGAATTTAATAATTTATTCTTGTAAATTATTTGCAATAATAATTTATCATAATTTTAACTAAAAATATGTGAAGTATACTCAGGAATTCATGTGATTAGGATCGAATAAATTAAGTTAATTTATGAGATGAGTTAGTTACTGGATTTTGTTGAGCGTTTACAAAAATTAATTAACTTTTAACTCTAAAAATCATGTTTATTCTACTAAATTTATAGATTTTTTTTATTTTATAGGGAGATTGTTATCGTAATGTTATAGCGAAATATGGTCTAAAGAATTATTCTTAAATATTTTTAACATTATTAAATAAGTAAAACGTATATTATTTTTGCATGATAACACATTGGCCTTCCATTAAAGACTGAGTAATTTCGAAAAAACTAATAATTACAATTTAATTCAATGTGATAATGTTAAAAGTTCACAATTTTAATGAGTTGTTTATATACTTTGAATTGATAAGCGTTGTGTTTGGAAGGATATGTTCCAAATAAATCATAATCTATATTATTTGTAGTTTTACAGATAATAAAAATATCCATACCTAAACAATAAAATATTTATTGATATTCGTATAGTAAAATATAACGGACTCTTAATATAAAATTCTTTCATGAGTTATTCGCCATCAAGCAGCGGATATTGCCCAGAGATACAAAATCAAATGGGAATTAAATAAACCTTATAAGATTTATTTTACCCTAGTATTTTGGGGATGAAAAATTCTACCGTAGGCATTTAACAATTACCATTTCATCACCTATTAAGCTTTAAACTCAATTCAGTAACCGACAGTATTGGGAAGTAAAGTAACTTAAAATTACTCGTTACTTTAACGTCGCACGTCACTGTAATTGAATGACGTAATTTAATTACATGTATGACGTAATTTTAAGTTACTAACGCATTATTAAAAAATAATTATAGCTCAAATAAAAAAAAAATCATATTGATAAATAATAATTCATCTGTATAATCTCCATTATAGCACCCAAGTTATTCTAATTTATTATTATAATCCTATTTGGCATTTTTATACCTAAACGGAAGGAAGAGTACGGGCGGAAAATTACTACTGTTAAAAGTAACAAACCCACGTCTAACCTCTAGTGTACATTTTAAAATACTAATAACTTTCGAAATACTAGTCCAAAAGTTGTTATGAACTAGCCATTTTCTTAATTAAATTATTAATTATTATCTCTTAAATAAGCTAGTTAATTACGTATATTTCAATTCGAAAAATTCAAGTTGACACTTTTATAAATGATAAGGAACATAAAGAATGTATGATTGATAAATTGAGAAAAATATAAAATACAAACTAAAATAGATCAATAAAAAGAATTATTAACATTATTTTAATTTATTCACGTTACATGAATTACCTTGTATATATAGATATCATACTAAGAAAAATTGAAAAAATTAGGCATTTGCATTTATTTAACCGTGCTACATATGAAAAGTAATTTGGGAGTAACTCATTACTTTTTTTTTGTCAAGTAAAATAATTTTGATACATTTAAAAATAAGTAACAAACTAGTAATTACATTTCTTTTTGGAAATGTAACGAGTTGTTAGGGACTTGTTTAATAGTTGAGGATCTTGGTTATTAAACAAGCCCCTAACAGAGTGATTGTAATTTTATTAATTTATCAAAGTAATTTACCCAACACTAATAACTTTATAGGACAACTTTTGGTTTCAAATTAGATGCAAGCGTTTAATGATAATGTATTCATTAGAATTATTTTGTATAATTTGTTGAAAAATGTCTAAATTTACAAAGAGAAATTACTAAAATGCAATTTAAGTAAATGCAAATGATTTTTTTACCCACGGAATAAAGATTATATCTAATTATTTATAACTATATCTAGTTAATTTATAGAAGTAATATTTCTTTTGTTTATATTAAACTATTTAACTTCATCATAATAATTGGTTTAGATAACACAAGGCGACCAAAAAAATATACTTCAAAAATTGTCGAAAAAAAAAATTGAAAGTCGTTATTTTGTATATTTTTTGTTGAATTATTTATTACTCGATATAAAAATATCTAACATCCCAAAAACACTATTTTTTTTACGATTAAATGTTATTAACTATATGTCCAAGAATATTTTAAATTAGGAAATCTCATTTAAGTAAATTTTTAAGCTCCTAAATAACTAAAAGTGTTATTAACCGATGATGTAGTAAATAATTTAAAATAAGTTAAATTTAATCCTTCAATTTTCAAGTAAATAGTTTTAATTTTCAATTATTAATCATAAAAAAAAAAAATAAAAAAATATTAGTTATATACTTTATTTCATTTTTAGATATAAATAATATCCAAATAATAATTATCATAGGGTAGCAAAGCTAACCTAAATTCTATGGTATATATTTAAAAAAACATATATAATATATAATAATAAAAGAGAACAAAAATTCAATAAAATAAACAAATTAAAGAAAATCTATGAAAAATATTATAAATGTACACTCACAAAATATTCTTCCTTATAAATATCACTTAAATACAATTTTTCCATCTAAAAAAGAATTATACAAAATAATATTTGAGCATTCAGACGCGTTCTGTAGAACCTTTCATTGTATTATAATCGCATGATAAATTGACAATTATTTTAAAAAAAACCATAACACCCCAATAATATTTGTCCAAAATATCATAATTGTTCACTGTTACTTTTTTTCAATCTAAGTTTCATTGATGTATAGAACAAAAATTTTTATATATTATCACATCTTCAGTTATACCATCTACTCCATTAAACAAATTAAAAGAATAAAGAAGATTCATACAGAAACCGAATCCGAATAGAGAATACAACTCCTATTCAATTTATTACAGCATAAGAACAAAATCAATTAATAATCAATTTCATAGTATAATTTGAGTATACAAATTTTGGAAACCTAATCTAAATAGAGATTACGACTCTGATTCAGCTGGTTTACAATATAAACAATTATACGAAAATATTTCCTTTTCTATTCTTGTTATCTAATTAACCAATATGCTGATCAAATGTACAAAGTATGTAACAGTGGTTTCACTATAAAGCCTTTAACCTAGCACATAGTGTACAAAATATTTTTCAGTATATGTTTTAAAAATAATAATTCTAAGTGGTAAACAAACAAAATTATAAGTAAATTCAAAAACTTAAATTCATAATAATTTGCAAATTGAGCGGAGCATTAAAATCTTAGTGAAATATTATTATTTCATATAAACAATACCCTGTTAAGTTAGTAAAATTATTTTTTCAAGATAACAATGAAAATTTATATGCAGAAATTTGTTTAATTAAAAAACTACAAAAAACAGCATTTAAATTTTTTGCTGTTTCCATTGAATTCAATAGATAAAAAATAATTTTTTCTTTAAGTACTTCCAAATAAAATCAAGTAATCAATATATTTCATTTAGGTATGAAAGTGCTATTTTATAAGAAAAAAATTAAGAAAAAACAAATTGAACTAATTTCCAAACTGTGGGAATGTTATATTTTTGATTTTATTTAAACATCTTATGTTATTATGAATTAATGTAAATCATCAATATATATATTGTTGGGTTAAAGTATATACTTAATAGAAAGCAATGAAAATATTTTATGCTTAGTTAAATAGAAAATAAGGAAATTTGAAGTAATTTTTTTGATAATTTTAATAGATAATACTCCGCTCATATTAAAATTCTAAACATACTTTTGTAACACAATTTTAAACATAATGATAAAAATAGTAATAATAAGATAAAATGGTTATTTTATAAAAAGTATCTTGGAATTCTTAAGCTATGTGGTAATGTTGCCGATTTCCAAAGCTTTAAGCAATTCGGACCCTTGAAGCAATTCCCCTCCAGCAGGTGCATTTACATCATAATCCTGTTCTGTTAAATCCAACAATGAAGGAATTGCTGTGCTACTAGGATCCAGCAAATATGCACTTTTTAACCGTGAACGATGTCTTGGTTGAGTACAATTTTTGACCACCACATCTTTTCCAACTAGTTTGGTTACACCCTAAGTACATACAAAACAACTTATTAATTTTCTAATATTCTATGTACACTAGATGTTAGAGAAAACAATTTCGATTTCTATAATTTTTAGAGACAAAGTGATAGATGCATTTTTCAAAAATTTACCAATTAATAAAATTAGTATACATATATAAAAATACTCTATGGTAAAAAATACAATTAATTTTACATGATAAAATCATGTAATCTATTGATTGATAGTGAAATTATATCACTTAGTTATATCAGTATATAAATTTTAAAATAAATAAATCAATACACGAGGACAATGCCAATTTATATCATTTAATTCATTATTTCATTAATAAGATTATAGTTTAATACTCAACATATTATATTTAGATGATGGAATTATTTAATTTATTGGCATCAAATATTATTTGATAATATTTATTATTAATATTATTATGAGCTCATTGCTTAATTGAGAAAATTTGTCTAACGTTATAAGATAGGATGAAGTAATAAGAAATAGGAAATGAAAAAATTGATAACTAAATTAAACATCTAGTGTTATTTCTCTTTTTAAAGATGTACTAGATTAGTAAAAAATAATATATTTTTTCTTTATTATTTGACATAATTATTTTTAAAACAAAATAAATATAATACAACAACAATTATAATGATAATTGAAAATTAACAATCATAGACAATTAAACATATACACATAGTATTTTGGTTTATGCCACATTATTTATAAAATATTCTATAAGATGTCTAAGATTATAATAGTAAAAACTTTGCTAAAAAATTATATGTCTACTATCGATAATTTTATCTAAAAGTAGCATAATATAAAAATCCCCAGGTATTCTAGTCCTAAGAGAATTTTTACACCCTAACAAATAGTCATAAAAACACACTTTGTAAGCAAACTCTTTGACTAATGTTTTTGAATTTATTTTCAAGAAAATAACAATAGACCAAATATAGTTATATTTTGACTATTTATCTTGCTATTTGTATATACAAATCATATTCAGGGAGAAATATACAATTTTTAGTTTATTTATCTAGTATAACAGATAGCTCAATTAATTGAGCTAACATCTTAGATAATATCTATAGTACATCTTAACATTTTACTGATTAGATAAAACGCTATCACTTTGCCGCCACATTTTGGCGAGTCTGAGTATTAAAGAAACGTGATCTCTGCTGAGTAGAAGTGCTTTTTGGTTTCTGTGATGTAAAACACACATAACCAGCACTTACATCACATCCGCTCACCAGTAAATTCATTAAAACACTGCTGGATGTCCCTTGTTTAGCTGTTTCTTCTTGTTTGCATCGTTTCCAAGATTGAGTAGTAGCATTCACATTAGGCCCCACTCTTTTAACACCATTAGTAGATCTTTTATCAACATCATCTGGAAAAACAAAATAGAAATTATCAATAATATTTCTTTAGTTCAAATGAGGGTAAAAAAAATTTACCCCTAGAATCAGTTGAACTAGAGTTATAACGCTGATGTAACATTTTACTAATTGAACCCCAAGAATCACCACCTCCATCTATCATACCACCACTATCAAAATGAGGTCTGGCTGAGTTGGCCTCGGTTTTTAGAAGTTTTGCCAGACTAGGAGAGGCTATATCTTTTTTTTCTTGTGATTTAATTGTCTCTGGGGTGTGCCTATAATAAATTATATAAAAGTGAAAATAAAATAATCTATAGAAATAAACTAACTATAAACTTACCAATTAGCTGGACCAGAATTTGGTGATGGAGATCTCTCTGTTATTCCCCATAAGTCACCTGATAAGAGTGGATACAGATCGTCTTCATACATGGGTATAAACTGGTTTTTTAATGATAAATCTAAATCCAAATCACTCTGATTGCTATCCAAGTCCATTCCTAAAAGTGCACAAGTGGTTGGATCATATAGACCCGGTGATTGTGACATTTCATCACTGAATTGTTGCATGGGCGATGATGATCTGTTTGAATAAGAATCGTGAAGAGAGTTTTGTGACATAGAGTCAAAAGGAGCCAATGAACAATCAGTAAGTATCAAATCATCAAGGACGTCAGATACAACAAATCCAAGACTATTGAGACCACAGGTGTCAAGTGGCACACAAACATCACCAGCTGTTGGAGCTAAATGTGTCAAGTCTTCAGGCTCATCTTTGAGAACTAAAAATATAAAAATCATAAATAAATAATTTATAATAATGCATATTTAAAAAAAAAAAAAGGCCCAAAGTCGCTATAAAAACTCACTTGTAAGGCCTGTATCATCATCAGAAAACGTCAAAAATCCTTTATTCATATCTTCGGTTCTTGGCACAAAAATTTTTGCCGTAGTAGCTTTTGGACTGTCCGAAAATGAAACCGCCTTCTTTTTGTTTGGTATAGGCAAGACAATCGGTAGAAACTCCTTAGGGTCCAAAGATACTGGACCGTCGCCAGCCGGCAACAAGAACGTAGATGAGTCTACCAAACACTTCGGCTTAAAAAGTTTTTCGGTACACGACTTTTTTACAACTAGTTTTTGTGGCTTTTCTGGTACAATAGATATCGGCGGCTTTACGGCTGTCACGTTGGAGGCAATTACAGAGGTTGTAGTTTGTTGAGGTACCTGACATAAAGAGTATATTTCGTCTCTGTTTTCAACCTCACTGTAAAAAAAGAAACACGTTTTAAAATACCATTTACTTCTTGCAATAATTATATTTTTCCACTTGGCAACCAAACAGTAGAAAAGAATGTGCGCCAATTGGGACGTTTATTTTCGATTTGCCAGAAGTTCACGGCAATGTAACACGAGAGTGCGCGACGGACAACAAGAAACAATTTTGCAATTAGTAAAGAAGAATTAAAAAATAACATTTATACTGGTTCTGACTGAAGAGAATTTTAGTACTAAGTCTTTTCTAAGAGAATAAGTTCAAGGCTATAAGGTAACTAAACCTGACGAATATTTCTTTTGACTTTTTTTATCACTACATTTGCTTAACAAGCTACCAGCAGTAACTATTGATAGATAAACAATTTTGCAATAAATGTCAATGTACATTTTTATGATATTTTTTATACATTCCATCAAATTAACCTTTAACCTTTATCAATAGTTATTTTTTCCAAGCAATTCTTAATTTCATTTTATTTTCAGTAAAAAAAAAAAAAAACAAAAATATGCCTTCTAAACATAAATTATACCAAAGTACTACCTAAGAACACAATGTTAAAAATTAAACAACTGCAGAAGCCGGCAGTGTTTAATTTTTACCGACTAGAAAGTATACGACAGTGTTACTAGGAGTTGTATTTAAAAATAAATAACTTCATTCATATTACTATAGACACACGCTTTGCACGAGGCGGATCACTCATGCCAAAAGCTCCATAACACCAAGCCGCACCTAGTAGACTCTTTTCTTCATTTTAACACTCGACCATGAAAACTAATAATAAAAATAAGCTAGTCCATCGAATAATTTACGCACAGTTTGACGAAATAAATTTGGTTAAAAATTTTTATTTTGAAAATTATGAATAGATTCAATAACGATTGACAACCTCGAAAAACTTATAACACAAGGATCTCGACAACAAATAATTTTATGGTTATTTTATGACATGAGATCTCTCACGGTAAAAATACGAAGAAAATTAGAAACTACGTAGTATAACTGTAGTTATAATACGCTAGGTTACAAAACACGAATTTTTTTTTCTTTTGACTGCTGATTTGTGTGTTTCAACATTTATATCACGTAAATTACACTCGACGATAAGTTGGATAATCCACGAAATGGTTGCATCATACTACGCGCAGAATTTTTGTTTTTAAATAGGCCGTATACAATAAAAAAAAAGAGCACAGTTCATAAAAAAGTAATAGTGTTGAAAAAATATTCTATCAGTAACCACATAAATAAAGTTTGAATACTTCTCAAATTTACTTCACACAGTCAACTTAATTAACTAGATACTACTCGATTATTTAAAAGAGTAAAATAAAATAAGTCACCGATAAATTATCAGTTAAAATTACCTTCTAAAAAAATATTAAGTACAATAAATTTTTTTTAAATAGTGACGGTAAATATTTTGTACTTCCGATCGAAATAAAATTTAAAAGTTTACTAACTAATAGGAATTAAAAACCGTTAGAATCTTAAACGTAAATTTGTTCGAACGACTTTAAAACAGAAAATAAATTTTTAAAAAAAGTACGATGAGAGATCACACGAAAGTTAACACTAAAAGCGTAACTGGTAGCTAGCACGCAACTGATTATTATTCAAGACTAGACTAGACTAGTCAACAGCTGATACTGACAGAGTGACCACCATTAGCAACGATTATACCTACTACTATGTAGAAAAGAAGCCCCGCCGCCATCGGTTACAATTATTACTTTTTATTTCAATTACCTATTATTTTGTCAAATTTATCTATTAATATATTGAACATCTTAACTTCACGTGCTTAGAGTTCAAAAGATAACACAGTATATTTAAATTGCATGTACTCATTAAAAGATTATAATTACTATTAAATAAAATATAGATACTACATGATATCTACCTGTCAATAGTAAGTCGATAACCTCTGGAAAACCAGGAATAAAAAATAATAATTATAATTAATCAAATAAAACTAACGAAATTGCAATTTTTTTTAATAGTATATAAATTGGGACCTTTTGTGCTAAATAATCATATCCATGCGTGAATAATGTGATCTCTATTGTTTTTCTTTGGTGCTTATTAATTATTATTACTGAATCATTTCGAAATATTAAGAGTATAAAATTAATTTGCTCATCGCAGTGTATTATGCAACATATATTAAGAAATGACGAATCAACAAACAAGCTAAATCAAATGGTATTTGAAAAAACAACAATAACAAAAATTGCTAAGTAGAAATTAGTACGTATATTACATTAGCGGGGTTATTAACATTAACAAACGAAACACAATTTATGAAATACTACATACTGTTACGATGATCTTTCCCGAGAATAAATCATTTCAATTAAAAATAGTATTTCTTCAAAAAAATTTTACATTTATATGGATTTTAACTAAAAGTTCATAAACGTTAAAAATAAATAAAAATGTCATTTGAGTATTAATTGATAATCTGTGATGTTTAAATATATACACAAAATACTTAATATAGTATCAACTGCTACATATAACAGTAATTTTTCTCAAATGGTATGGATCGTCGTAATGATCAATAATTATTGTAAAAGGAAAACAATAATTTAATAGCTAATCATTGACAGAAACTCTTTACTATAAGTAGTAATTTGTTTCATTACCATATACTATTATAACCACAACATTCCAGTTTAGACTAGAAAAATAATAACTCAAAAAATACTAGTTTTTTTTTTGTAAAGAAAAGTAAATCAATAATTGACAATTTTAGAAAGTACCAAGATTCTTTCAGTGCTTTCGCATTATCTGAAAAAGTCAATACCACAATAGTTCGCTAACATACACAAATAAATCTTAAGAAAACTAATATTTTTAGATTTATGATATTTTTAATTAATAGCTCTTTAATTTACTAAATTACTTAAGTCCTGTCAATGAATAGTCCTTCAGAAGTTATTGATTTTTTTAAAGTTACTTGTATATAAATTACATTTTTTTATTTTAAGTATTGTTTATTTGATACATATTTTATCTTCTACAATAATAATAATAATATTTTTATGTAAAATAAAAAAAGTAATAAATAGAAGTAGATAAATCAATAACTTATTGAATACCTTACTGAGCTACATTTGTTTTACAACTAATTCTTAAATAATATATTTTCACAGTTAAACAAAATACTCGTTTTAAGTGTCTCACAAAATGCTTTAAAGCATCTTTAATGTGAGACACATCATTAATATTATCACAATATTTTTGGGCTCGAAATAAAATAAATTATATTAGATCAAAAATAAAAGTCAGATAGGCTTCTAAATAATACGACATTATACTAGATTTTTTATATAATCAAATGACACAGACTAGACATTTGCTTGTAGCCACGTTTTAAAAAATTAATCAAGTTTATAAAAATTGAATAACATAAATTTGATAAGAAAAAAAACGGTAGCAAAGTGAAGCGTGGTACAATGTAGACGTGGTATTGTTGGGCAAGCATATATGATATCTGACAGTGATAAAAAACACTATCATAGGAAATGCATTCATGAAAATCTGTATTTAGTGTATAATTTTAAAGAATTAGTTGATTACTCCAAAAGCAACATCAACTTCTTCTTCCTTAATGATATCTTGATAAGTAGTTATTTGATTCATAAGTTAAATGAATCATTTAAAATAATTTAGTCTAAACTAGTCTACAAGATATTTTAATCAGTGACAAAAATATACTTTTTCTAAACCAATTTTTGCGCTGATTTCAAACAGAAATTATTCTGTCACTTTTAATTTATGAGATTATTACTAATTGGTAAAAATCGTATCTTCTTCTTATTCCTTCTCTTTTTCCCAATTAATTGGGGTCGGCCACCCTTATTCTAAACTTCCACTTGATACGATCTCCCACATCATCTAGTCTCACATCAGCCGTCCTCATATCGCATTCAATAACATCCCTTCATCTCTTTTTTGATCTTCCTCTACCTCTACTTTCTTCAGCATTCATTTCCATAACTGTTCTCACTGTTTTTTAAGTACAAAAACAAATATGTACATATATATAAAAACAAATCTAGGTTAAAATGAAATTTAACAACACTATAGGTGAAACTAAGCCTGGAATATTTTCGAATATTAGTATATTATAAAATATAACTGTACGTAATATAGTTATGAATATTTAAACTGCATACCAAAATAATATTATTTCCGGAACATTTAAAAAGTTAGGTTAAATAAGTTCTATGTTCATATGTTACGTAATAAGTTTGTATGTTTCAAAATAGTCATAATTTCTAATAATTTGTACCAAATGAAAGAGAAATGCCTAAGGTAATTTATATAAAAAAAAATATTGTTTCATTAATTTAAAAAAAAAATATACCAGTTTAAAAAAAAAGTCGAAAATTAAAAATTTTAAAAATCAAAACTTTTGGGAGATTTTTCCTACTTAAAAAAAGACAGGGAAAATTTTCTATTTTCAAAAACAATGCCTTAAACTAGATATGATTTGGGATATTTGACGTATCGTTGAAAGAAATCAGTCCGATGAAAGCTGAGAAAAAATGGTAACAGACAAAAAATTAAAACACGCATTTCGCATAGAAACTAAAAAAAAACACCAAAATAATATAATAGAAAATAGAAAAACATTTAAAAGCTCTCTTTTATTCTGTGTTTAGAGCTATTATATACCTCCTTCAAATGATACTAAATCGATTATCAAAAATATGTGATAAAAATTGACTCAGTTTTCATAAGTAGAATATAGAAATATATTCTATTTATTGTATAGTATAATTGTGTATACATAGTACTTATAAAACTAAATTAAATCTTAATTAATGATAAGAATTTAATAAAAACTATTAAAATATTTTAAGGTAGTAAAATATTTTTTAACCAAATATTTACTATCTTTTCATTTATTATACGTGGTCCAAATTTTATCAGGTTTCATTTTTTTGAGTGCTTAGTCTACCTTTTAATAAGGGTTT